TTCGATGAGGAAAGCCAGCGATGATTCCAAATCAACAAAAAGCTGTACGATCTCAATTATATAACTAGTCATAGACGCATGAATATCTTCTGTGTGAGACCTTCACTAGCTAAAACTCAGATGTTTTTTAAATTCTCAATCTGATTATTTTCAAATATCACCCCTTTTCGAGATATAACATAATCCATGTTTAGCATCAGCTTTCCTGTGCTCAAGCTGACGCTAAGACCCATTTTTCGCGCAGATAATTTCGAAGGCTTTGTGGGAGAGAGGTTCTTCTCCAAACCATAACGGTTAAATGTACTTAGTCACTTCTATCAATTTTTACATACAGAACAAAATAACATTACTGAAAATACAGAGTATTTCAAAAAATATACACATTGTTTAATGGTTCATAACTTGCCATTTGTTCCCTTTTTTTCTCAGGGCGTAATTAATAGAAAATAATGAGTATACTACAACTGGCTTTCGTACAGAGCAGATTAATTTTAAAATGGTTTTGAAAATAGGAAAACGTACAGTACAAGGATCATATCGCGGGGAATTTCAGGAAGATTCAATTTACAATTAATCGGATTAAGTTTGGAACTGATAGAGTATGTTCATAGACGACACTCTGGACGACTATAAATATGAATGAGCTTCATGGTGCATGAATAAGTACTGAAAAAAGAAACGTCCAAAAAATCTGTAGGACACTCAAGGGATGAACTTGGTATCAGCATCAGGTGCACTTTGGACCGCTCTAAATCCAAGTGTTAGATTGGCATACGCTAGCAATGAAGATGATTTGAACCGGCTCCTTTGAAAAATACCAACACAATGGGAAAGCTTGTTTGGCGCGATGAAGTTACATTTCAATTAAATGCTTCAGCTAATTCTGAAGTTACAGTGTAATACAGAATTTCAGTTGGACCGTTATTTTTGATAGTGCGGCGCCGGTCGCCAATTATTTGAATTTACTGGAAGAATCGATTCTTTTCCCGCGTTCGGGGAAATTTTTATAAGGGTGCTGAATTTGTTTCTAATAGAACGGAGGGCATGCACACGATCATCGAAAAGCAAAAGCATATTTTGTTAGAATCTTGCAAACAGGGAGGTTAGACGATAAAATCTCATAGAATATTTCGGCTGTTCCTCAGACCTTGCGTCAGAGAGCTCTTCTTTTGGTAGCACCTTGCGGTAAAGTCTGTATCAGAAAACTGACTCTATTGGAAGGTCTAGAAACCTCAATTAAGCAACTGAAGTGTCTTCTAAGGTTTGTGAAGTAATAGCCCACCCTTATCATCGGTGTACTGATGAGAACAGTAATAAAAGATACCCTGTGGAAGAGAAAGAGGAGAAGAAGGTACATTGTGGGGGTTATGTGGCTTCTTTTAAATCTAAAATTAATTAATTGCGAATAAAAATTGAATTTTGAATGGTGCGTACATGTTTTAAAATACTCCGTATATATTAACGTATTATTAATAATCGTCTCGTTCTGGGAGTCCGCATCGACTACGACCAGAAGATGCTGCTCGAATACATGCTACCTTCCAGCTGGCTCACCTAGCACAGACCTATAGTATGAACCTTTTTTATTGATAACCTATCATTGGGGTGAAGTAATTTCGCATATTCTATACGAGCCACTATTCTGGCAATTCTAATACGGTTTTGACCAAAATCATTGTTTGTTTCCTTTTACAAATATTGGCTTTATTGAATAACATGCAATCGGTCAGAAACGTAATGAAATAAAGCAATCTGAATGAAATTGAGGTCCATTATACAGTTACTCTGATTAATTCGATTTACTATGAATTAGTTGTTTTTTTCCAAATATCAATTACAACAGGAAGTGGGTAATTCACAGTAATCAACAATCAAAAATTGCCCATCTGAGACCGGAAAAGTCTGATTTCTTATTTCACGTGTAAGTCTATGGAAATCGTGTAAAAAACCGTTTTAATACTGTCATAGAAAAAAAAATAAAGCATATTTAAGGAAAGCCCAGAGTTTCGAACCGGAACGATTTATCAAGGTGACAGATAAGTATGATAATTCAATGTCACATGAGAGCGATCTGTTTGTAATAGGCTTGCTCAGAATGCTCAAATAATACAGGTACAGACTGAAAGTGTATTTTCTGTTGTTATTTTCAGTTTAAAACGATGCTAATAGTCAGCGTGTCTCCCGGCTGTGAATTCTCTGGTAAACGTTGAATCAAAATGGCTCTTAGCAAATATCCTTCTATAAGGCATTAACGCTTGCTCTTGGTCCTAGCTTCGGACCACTAGTACCGGCCAGACTGCGCTCCCCGGGAAGTAGGCTTTCAAGGCTCACAAACCGGCAATACTTCGTCCGTACCATACACTGCCTTTTGTCATGTGGAAACCAGTCCTTTCTTTGCGGACCTTAAGATAGTTGATTTCGCTGTGGGGGCCCTACCCGTTGCTCTATGAAACTAATTAAGTTTTTAAGCAGGCATCGTGGGTTTCAGCACAGAACAAAGTAAAGCTAATCATTTGAAGAAACTATGCTCCTGCTGGCTGGCCTCAGGTTCGTCATCTCACTATGTCGCAGAGTCCCAACATTTTTAATGCTCAATATCAGAAGTTCAAGTGTTAACTACAGTAATGATAAACTAGTTAAGCAAATCCACGTTAACAGATAATAGCTCATGTTCACCTCTTTAGTGGGTCAGTAATCCCCCCATACGAGGGAAGTACAGTGCAAACGACAAGGTGATCGATGCCTATGTTTTGCGACCCAATTTTCGAGTGTTTTTTTTTTCCATTTAAACTGTATAGATATAGTAATTTAGAAATTTTACACACTAACGAGTTTAACCGAAGATCTTGCTGCAATTTAGTTTATCATGCTTCGCATGCACTTTCGTACCTTCTTCGTCACGTTTAAGTCCTGGACCCATACTTGGGATACTGTATCCTTAAATTGAGAGATATAAGTGATCTCCTGAATATTTCAAGTTCCACGTTCAGTATAGCTGTTTCATAATTCCTTGTCCAGCCCTAACTCGCGCTTCGACGTCACGCCACATGTTTTAGGTCAAATTGAAGTCGAGTGAATTTCCAAGTTACGCCAGAACTTCACTTTTACAGGGCACCCTTTACCATATGACTCTGTGCCATGCCATACATGAGACATACTTCCCATTCTGACACCGTTCTCGTACCTGAGACAGTGCTTTGTTTCAGAATTACTTTACTGCATTGTTGTTTTCCCATAAGCTTGCTGACAACATATAGGGCTCTTGCAGTTTTAATGGAAATCACGGCCTAGTTATGTGACCTGCTGAATTACACAGGTCTTATATCTTTCACCTAAACTTTTGCTCATGTGTTTTCTTGTATGATTCAATCTATCAGAGTCCGCTGCTCCTTCATGAGGATTCCATTACGAGTTCGTACAAAATCACAAAAGCAGGAAAACCATTGCAATTTACGTGATGGTCACGAAAACGTCGCTGTTATCGAATAGGTGAGGACAATGATGTAGTGCTATGGCACACAGATCGCTCTATGAATAAAGGTAGATGAAATCGAATATCCGAAGATTTATACAGGTGGTGGTGAAAAGCTATTATACCATATATGTCGGTGTCCTTTCCTCCTCAGCAGTTTAAAAATACTTTTTCAAATGCACAGGTATCTTTGATTAAACTCGACAATGTGTGAAACTTCTAGCTGACCTCATTCGGCGACTGGCCCATGGTTATATATATATATAACGATGAGCTGTTACATATATATACTGTTACAAACGGCAAAAGTGCTATCGGCTTACTGCAAGCTACTTGGCATTAAGCTAATACCTATATATCGTTACTAGCTGCATTTATTTAGGAATTATATATTATTTATTCTTGCTGCGCGCGTTTTCACGTTACACGCTATGGGACCAAATTTTTTAAAGTACAACTCTATCTTTTGCTGTCAGCATCGGCGTGTAGCCATTCGGCTCACAACAACAAAGGCTTAATAACATCACAGTGCCAAGTTCTTAAACAGTTACTGTATCGGCCATTCAACGCTTACCAGCACCCGCCCACACCCTTGCAGCTTTTCTTGCTCAAGCCAAGTTTTCATTTGACGTTGCTGAACTTGGAGTCGTGCAGCTTCGCAGCATCGCATCTTCTGGAATCCCCGTGTACAGAGAGTTCTCCGGGTAGCCAAAAAGTATTTAAAACAGCGTCCTTTCCAAGTTGCCGCTTGTAGTTGTATTGATGGAAAACGTCATATGGTACAGTAGCTCCTGACGCAATGCCTTTTTCCACCATTAAGGTCCCATGCTAACCGCGTGATCATGTCATTGCACTGAAGGTGCCTGCCAGCTGTTCAGATTTATTTGATGTGATCCGATTTAAAGTGATTTATCACCTCTCACGATGCGAAGCAGGTCGCGCTGTTTACTAAGACGGTGCCGAAGCCCCCAAAGCAGTGTCCACAATTCCTTGGGGCCGCGAACCACTGCCTTATACCACCATACAAAACGCGCGGAATAATTGACACTGAAAACGCTACCGTCCGAAACTTTCATGGGGCTCATGAAGAATATGCCAAATTGTTCGAAACGAAGTTTCGGCATAGGATGCAGTATATATATATATATATACATATATATAGCTGTATCGGTATATAGTACGAGTCACTGTGGAGTGTGTCTGGCGTAATTTCGAAGTGCAAACATTTATGAATTAAGTTCAGTCACCGCACGCCATTCGTGCTTTGCGTAAAAACTTTACAAAGAAATTTCAAACACAAGCCAACGACGTGTTCCTCTATTACACAACTTTGATATGATGAAAAATACAATTATAGCTAATTATTTGCTTGCAAGCTCAGAAAGTGAATCTGTTGCGAACTGAAATGCTCCCCGATTTTAGTTTATAACAAATTCACCCTGAAACCGAGATTATGACGGTATTCAAGACAAAATTTCTAATGAAATTTTGTAGCGTAAGAGGTATTATATGTTTTGGCCATAGAAAATCTAACAATGAATTTTCAGTACTATTAATAACGACTGCAGAATAAGCTTTAGTCTCAATCAGTACGATATACGATAAACAATACGCAATTCCTCAAACCTAGAAGAAATTCGGTAATCTAATAGAGATAATAATACGTTTGTCCTTTAAATTATCCAACGTTTACTAACGAAATCCGAAAAAGCCGTAGTTTCTGTTGCTAGATGCTGCCTATTATAGGCTAACTCATCTACACTCGTGAAATAAATGGCCAAGCATGATAAAAAATGATGTCTCTTAAACAACGAACTATATTTTTTAGCTCAATCCACTTCCTAGTGTCGCCTGGCATAAAACCTTTGATTGATATCAACAACTGACAGCGAGTAGAATATGTGTGAAGTATATACATGAAATTGATTATTATGTAGGCAAATTATCATATGCATGTGAACACTGGCGTGTGTTTATGGCAACGAATGCCCTTTTTTTGGTAAAATTTGCTGACAAAATGAAAGTTTATTCGCTTAAAATCGAAACACCTATTGAAGCAGATGAAACTAATGTTGAAGGAAATCGTCACTTGTCATAGAAGCGACAGAACTTATTTATTGTATTGATGGCTCAAAAACTCAACTTATGCCTACCCGACTCCATTCAACAAGGCACGTAAAGCAAAAGGGATGATAGCACGCGTCGGTGAAGCTCTTGTTTGATGGTTTTCCCAGGCAGATGGCGCACGTGTTATCTGGGTCTTCAGATGAACCCGTCGACGCTGAATCTGGTCTAAAAAGAAAAAAAAAAATCGAAAACCAACTCATAAAGAAGCTTATCGGTTTTGATGAAACGGGAGTTTCATAAAAACCGATTTTATGAAAGCTTTCATCCCAATCAGACTTTAACGATAGTATATCAACTTCTATCTGCGAATCAAGTCAGTAACATAATATCACAACACATAGTTGCCGTTACTAATATTTATTTGTTGAGGCTAAATAAGTCTTATAAATAGCGACATCTCGTTAAAGTCGCTAATAAATGTATTAAGTTAAAGTTGAAATGTTGCGTTTTTAATGAGATATTCAGTTATAATTTTATTCTTATTGCTTTACCTTGGCGGCGATACTGGCGGAGAAACGTTTCTTGAAACAAACTTTGGTGTTGCCGGCGACGATGATCTATAAGAACAGAATAGCAATTTGTTTTGTTTGTCTAATTTTAAAAATACTATATCAATACAATATAGTCCTGTTAAATGTACATTTTCAATTTGTTTTAAAGCGGGTATAGGTGACTTTTATTTTCAAGCTGCTGTGATAAATGGACTGAAATGCACTGATGTAGAGCGTTTGATTGTCAAACTGATCCGTTTGATTCATCGAATCTGATTATTCGTCATTTTTCAACTTGTCAAACATATATTGGTAACTATCCCGATTATACTGATTAGAAACAATCGACAATAGATAAAAAAAATATAGAGATTATTTAAAACGGAAAAACTGCCCTGGTTTGTATAAATGCACGTAATTATTGTCTTGCTTACCTAGTAGTCGCGGATGCGGCCATCGAAGTTCCGTTAACGGCGGTCACCGGCGTGGCCGCAGGCATTGAGGGCGCACCACTATAACCAGGTGGCGTTGCACGAGCTCGAACACCTCCGTTAGTGGTACCTGCTTGTGAACCTCGATGGAGGCCCACATGGTTGTGCGTTTGTGGCGAGAGAGGTGGAGGCCCGGAACCAGGACGCGAGGCGGTTGAAGGGCCCGCTGTCGAAGGTGAACCCCAACGGCGGGATGAGCCTCCCGCAGATGACGGGGAACCAGACATTACAGGTGGTGCAGAAACTTCAACGTGTGGATTTGCCATTCCATCCGTTCGTTAGACTAAAAATATTGACCAAGCATCAAATTGTTGGGATACACTGCTGCTATTTATCCTCATCAAACTACCTTTTATATAGTAAGTAGTAATACGCGTCCACAAGAGTCACATGAGTTGAACTAAAGAATGAGGGATCAGCGGTAACGTATTTGCCAGGAACACGTTGTGGTTTGGATTCAAGCCGAAGAACAGACAAACACATAGTTCTTTTCGCGCTGGGAACTAACACTCCGTCTGATAGAATACCCAAAGGCGATACCGGACGTGAAACTCGAAACAGAGGGAGAAAAATAAAGAACTGCTTATGTGTAATAACAAGTTGGCAAATTTCGTTTTAAAGGTGCAGTCGCTTTAGAGGTATGAAAGAGGAGCGGTGCGGATGTTTATCGTTACGGCACACCTGGTTTGAAATCGTGCACTTTTAGAAGGGATGAAAACTTTCAAGGGTGCATTGCTCTTACCGGGGCAACTTTTATATAACAGATAACCCATAATAAAGAAGCCACATGACAAAGAAAAGTTTCAGGGTGTCTAAATTGTGCGGGTATGTAAAAACTTTGTTAACTGATTTTATCAAAATCGCTACATGTTCTATAGTATAAAGACAGCGGTAATTATTTTCTCATCAAATTACCATGGTTAAGATTGACCACTGACTTATTTGCCCGCAGTATACTGTATGTAGAAATATTTGCGAATTATGTATCATAGCACTGATTTACATATGCTCTACGGAGTATGAATCGAGGGAAATGTGAAATCTTTTCTCGGTCAAACTTGTTTTGGTACGGTACATGTATGTTATGTGTGCTGGATTTATCGTTATTATACATTTACGGTTTGTAGGGACTTTTAAAATATTGTGGGTCTTTTACCACAAAAATATGCCAATTATTTCATGACACAAGATCTTATAGACAGTACCCACAGCCTCTGAACTTTGCTTGCAGAAATCCAGCTCTTTTATTTGATTTTTCAAGCTTTACTGTAAGCGTATATTCTCACGTTATTGAAACTTCTATGAGTCCATTTCCTCGTGTACGGAGTCTGAGTATAAACAATCCGATTGGTTTTCATTTATTAAAAGTTCTCTCCTCAGTGAAATAACTCAGTTCATGCTTGTCTTTTCGCGATACTAAGCTTTTTATTGCATGAAAACAAATAACCAAACCTTACGAAAAAGGTAAACGGCTAGAGAGGCACCCATAAGTATTCATGGAATAGACCCTCTCAGCTGTGCGAGCTGTGGTCACATTACGCTGTATCATGCGGTACTATAACTTAGATGCTAAACGAGGCAGATGGTTGAATTCAGAATCTCACAGTAAAACACTTCTGCAAACAATATAAATAGAACGATTTAATTACTTACTGGATAACAATTAGAATAGCTTTATGCGAGAAGTCGATTGATTCCAATTTGTTGGTCAAATAGTGCTTTTCGAAACTATGCCAATAATAGACCAAAGACGCTATTATTTTTTAGATATACAATAGGGCAGTTCATTGAGTTGTCTGCAAATACATTAAAATTGAACACCCAGTTTTCTAGCTTATTTTTGGTGCATTTAAGAAGCTCAGCTGGGCTACGTCCAGAACATATGCATACTGAATATAGTATGTCGCTTGTAATCTAAAGTAAACAACAAGTGATAGCGACAAAAAAATAAAAGGAAAATCCTCACACCTAAGGTTTTCATGATCGATGGCGTCGCGGTTACAGCTAGCGCAGGACCTGCTTCGAATATACACAATCAGTTAGTTCTATTTAGCAATGAATTGAAGTTGTCGCAGAAATACTTTCAGTTTTGAGCAATAGCCTCGATCTTGTACCATATTTCAATACCACGAGGTAAGCCGCCTTCACCGACTTCGATACCCAAACGGTTGCGTCTTAGGTGAAGACACACATGTGCAAAATCGAAAAGAAAACTGGTATTAAATAATTTATACTGCTCAAAAGCTGCTTACCATTCTAGAAAGCGAACAAATCCTTTCGTCGGGTGGTGTGGAGTAAACAGACCGTCTAGCATCCTTGTCGAGGAGAAATCGCAATACACAAACCGATAGTATTTGTATAAACGCACGACTGCTGTTTCAATTCACATCCAACGCATGAGCATCGCTTGCACGAAATTGCCTATTAGAAGATATCTTGGATATTATACACCGTTTTGTCGTTTCATAAAAAAAACTTTGCACAGAAAACTGTTGCCTTACAGCGTCCGATGTTGTATGCTTCTGTATTCCACTTGTCGGCTTGTAATATATATATATACATATATATATATATATACACACATATATATACATATATATATATGTATATATATATATATATATATACAGTGTTATACACTAGTATATTCTCCTGTACAATGGATGTTGCGTTGCGCGTGAATCGATGATAATCAGGATACACAGGTTTTTTTCGATTTTCACGACGAGCAATTTTTTCAGTCACTCCGCGAGTTTTCATACATGAATTTGTTTCATCGCCATCAGTATGAATATACCTCAGAAGACAGAAAACATAGTCCAGGCATATGCGATCCGCTCGTCGCCCATATATCCAGTGATTGCATAACTATACAACCTTTCTGCCCCACTCAGCTAAGTCTTTTGTATATACACAAAGACCAGTAACAGTAGGATGGTAGCACAAAGCAGAGGGTTACTGTATCGCTACTGCTTCAACAACTATGATGCGAATAAAGTCTTCAGCAGCCAGCAGGAGCAAGCAGACGTAAACAACGATACACTCAGAGGATCGCTGATAACGAAGACGACGAATTCAACAGAAGACGGCTGAGTAATGGTGCTCGTCTGGGCTGAATGGTGGCTCCGTTGTCCTCTATCGCTGTAGTCAGCGGTTTCATCCGTCTGTCTGCTATGGCGGGAAGCTGGGTAGTCGCCGCCTTGGTTATTTCTCCCCTGTAGTGGAAATCATAGCCAACAACAAAACGCCAACTGACTGGAGCCTACCAGTACCGTACATCAGGTCGAAATCTCCTGCGATGCTGCTATTGATGTCATCATTTATGTTCTTCCCCTCGTCGTCGTCGGCTTTGATGCGGCCGATCTTTCCCTCTAGAGTTTTCTGAATTAAAATGAAGTTCTATTCTGATAGAGTTCACATAGCCTGCAGGTGTCAACTGCTAATAAATAAACTAACCGACCCTTTTTCCGGGCGCGCGTATCTGTAATCGGCGTTTTTTCCCATATTGCCGAATAAATAGCTTTGAAAGCATACAGCCAAAGTAAGGTTCGTTTCTTAGATGGTTCATACATAAACGCAGCCGAAAAGAGGGATTTGACATGGAAAAGCACGATATTTGCCTATATTATATAAGTTAATGAGACAGGAAAAGGCGAACGAATATCCTAATTGTGTGTGTTAATATGTACTGCAAATAAAGTTTCTATGCATTGCGCAATGTCACATTGTTTATCGCTTCTTAAAAACCCCCTGACGACAACTTAGCAGACGGAGAGCCTTGCACTGTAGCTATTTACTGCCGACAACGATATAATATCGGAAATTGCTCTAACAATGCAAATATTGATGGCTCAGTCAATCATTTTAAATATTCTAATAATGCTACAAGTATCGACACTTGTTTCAGATAATTATTTGTGCTTGGGTATTTATTCATGGTTTTACATACTGATCGATGTACTTCCCGAGTAAAGGTAAATGTGTAAGTTCAGCTTAATGCTATTTTCGTGTACATGGTAATTGTTAAAGTTACTGCCGTCAGTTCTATTTTGGATTCGCAAAGTTGCTATGGATATTTCGTTGCGAATCTCAACCCGATTACAGCAAGCTATGTTGACGTGTAGCTTAAAGGCTACCCGCTGAGCTATGTGTTCATGGGCGCGCAAGCTCGCTCCGTGTCTGTACTCTCCCGTGTCGATATCACATTATGTATCAACTGCCAAGGCTCGATTTGACAAGTGGCCGCCTTGAGGGGTGTGTTTGAACTGTCTAACATACTGACACTGCTCTGTACTATTGGGTTTTCAGCGGCTCTGGCGACATACGAAGATTTGGACGGTGCGTGTGCACATGTGGCTTTGTGAGGGCTTATCGTGCAGTGAAATTATTTGGCGCCGACCGTAAAGGCGGCGGAGCGGATTACGGTATGTATATCCAGTGCACACACACGAGCGTCATCGGAGCAATGTCTGGAAACCGCGTCCGTGTTTGAGAGTCGAACGTGTCCATCTACAGAGCGCTCTTATCGAATGGAGTCGTGCGAGGGTGTGTAGTCGTTGGTGTGCCTGTTGAACGTCGTTCTCTTTTACGCATTTGCTGATTTCTCGTGACACAGCGATATCGCTTTGTGCTGCTGGCAAGCAGTAACCTTCCAACCTGCCTGTAAGAGTCAAGAACACGTTGAGTTGACGGTTTGTCAGGCTGTTGGTGATGGTCAAAATAAGGACAACTTCCATTTGACTAATCACGCTAAACGACAGTGTGTAAGTGGCGGCCTAGTGGCTGATAGGGTGAAGTGGCCTCCGGCACAGTGGAACAGGATACAACGAGTGACAGGACCCGGTTAATCACAGGGACTTCATTACCATGGATTCGCGGGGACGCAAAGTAATCGTGTGTGACAACGGAACCGGTTTTGTTAAATGCGGATACGCAGGATCGAATTTTCCTGCGTTTACTTTTCCGAGCCTTGTTGGTCGGCCAATTTTGCGTGCGTCGACAAAAGTTGGCGAAATGGAGGTTCGTCTTTTAAAGAATAATCACAGCGATATTAATCGTAATGACGATTTGGAAAAATCAACTATGAAATCTAAGTAGCTAGTTAAATGAGTGTAAAAAAAACTATCAGCATTGAGTTTGCTATCCGTATGAGGTAGTGTAGTCGAGAATAGTCGTTCCTTTTTTTTTGGATAAATTTCTGTGTTTATACTCGTCCTTAAGGAAACGCATAGCCTAGAGCTAATGTTAAATTTCAATTCCACAAACAAAATTATTCTTCGCGTATACGGAGTGCTGTAGGCTTGGATGCAAATCTGCGTTAATATTATCAATGGTTATGTTGGATTAAGTATAAACGAAGATTAGATAATACAACAGTTATCCTTTACTTTTTACACTGCAACGTTTGTCGCCGTAAATGAGCAGTTCCGTAAAAAGCTTATGCATGTAAGCATTTGAGCACATGTGAACTTGACTTGGAGCGAATATAACGTACGCGGATGGAGGCGGCGATCCAATCTGACGGTAGGGCACCGTAAAACTGGACACGCTGTCAACGTTTTGTAGCACGATGCTCGCATGGTTCCGTTTCTCTAAGTCGGTGGGGAAACTGCTCTAAAGAAGAACTTAGACAGAATCGAATCCCCACAGAACGGCGAATATTGTTTATTGATATACCTTGTTATTGAGCAGTATAACTAGCGTGTCGTATTATTCTTTGCTCGCATCGCTGACTCATCCAGCTGTTGTGGCACGCGTAAATGGAAAACCTGAATAGGCCATAGCCAAGAAAAAACGTCTTATTATTTTTAGTATCTCCAAAGTTAAGTCAACACTTCTTACAAATAAAATTGAATAAAAAATATTCTATGGTATTTGTGAACATTAGTACTATTATTCTTATTCGTTACCCCTCACAGAAAATATTACTGCATTTAATTCTATTCCATTCAATATATTTTGACCTAAATGTACTTTGCTTTACAATAGTTTATAATAATAATAATGAGGATACTATTGTAATCCTATAAAAAAAACAGGTTCAAAAATGGATTATTAAAGTGCAGGACGTTCAAAACCCGAACTTTCATAATACGATAACGTATTCCATGGACACTTTTGAAAAAGGCTTTTTGAAAAATGTTTGATGTAGACA